CACTTACAGATGTGAAAGCATGCGTTTGAGTTCACATGCGAGCACTCCCACATAAATGCGTTCGCGAATGTTAATTACAAATCCAAATGAGGTGTTTGCATTTGCGGACGTGATTGCAGTCACGCCCACATAAATGCGTTCGCAAATGTTAATTACAGATCCAAATGAGATGTTTGCACTTGCGGACGTGATGGTCCGCGTTTGAGATCACGTGCGACCACGCCCACAAAGATGTGTTCGCAAATGTTATTAAAGATCCAAATGAGGTGTTTGCCCTTGCAGTCGTGATGGCACGCATTTGAGTTCACGTGCTGCCACGCCCACATAAATGCGTTCGCAAATGTTAATTACAGATCCAAATGAGATGTTTGCACTTGCGGACGTGATGGTCCGCGTTTGAGATCACGTGCGACCACGCCCACAAAGATGTGTTCGCAAATGTTATTAAAGATCCAAATGAGGTGTTTGCCCTTGCAGACGTGATGGCACGCATTTGAGTTCACGTGCTGCCACGCCCACATAAATGCGTTCGCAAATGTTAATTAGAGATCCAAATAAGATGTTTGCACTTGCAGACGTGACGGCACGCGTTTGAGTTCACGTGCTGCCACGCCCACATAAATGCGTTCGCAAATGTTAATTAGAGGTCCAAATGAGATGTTTGCACTTGCAGACGTGATTGCACGCGTTTGATTTCACATGCGACCACGCCCACATAGATGCCTTCGCGAATGTTAATTGCAGATGAAATGAGATGTTTGCACTCGCGGATGTGATGGCACGCGTTTGAGTTCACGTGCGACCACGCCCACATAAATGCGTTCGCAAATGTTAATTAGAGATCCAAATGAGATGTTTGCACTTGCAGACGTGATTGCACGCGTTTGATTTCACATGCGACCACGCCCACATAGATGCCTTCGCGGATGTTGATTGCAGATCAAATGAGATGCTTGCACTCGCGGACGTGATGGCACGCGTTTGAGTTCACGTGCGACCACGCCCACATAAATGCGTTCGCAAATGTCAACTACAGATCCAAATGAGGTGTCTGCACTTGCGGACGTGATGGCACGCGTTTGAGTTCACGTGCGACCACGCTCACATAAATGCGTTCGCAAATGTGAACTACAGATCCAAATGAGATGTTTGCACTCGCGGACGTGATGGCACGCGTTTGAGTTCACGTGCGACCACGCCCACATAAATGCGTTCACAAATGTTAATTAGAGATCCAAATGAGATGCTTGCACTTGCAGACGGGATTGCACGCATTGGAGTTCACATGCGACCTCGCCCACATAAATTCCTTCGCGAATGTTACTTGCAGATCCAAATGAGGTGTTTGCACTTGCGGACGTGATGGCACGCGTTTGAGTTCACGCGCTGCCACGCCCAAATAAATGCGTTCGCGAATGTGAAATACAGATCTAATTGAGGTGTTCGCACTTTCGGACGTGATGGCACGCGTTTGAGTTCACGTGCGACCACGCCTACATTAATACGTTCGCGAATGTGAACTACAGATCCAAATGAGATGTTTGCACTCGCGGACGTGATGGCACGCGTTTGAGTTCACGTGCGACCACGCCCACATAAATGCGTTCACAAATGTTAATTAGAGATCCAAATGAGATGCTTGCACTTGCAGACGGGATTGCACGCATTGGAGTTCACATGCGACCTCGCCCACATAAATTCCTTCGCGAATGTTACTTGCAGATCCAAATGAGGTGTTTGCACTTGCGGACGTGATGGCACGCGTTTGAGTTCACGCGCTGCCACGCCCAAATAAATGCGTTCGCGAATGTGAAATACAGATCTAATTGAGGTGTTCGCACTTTCGGACGTGATGGCACGCGTTTGAGTTCACGTGCGACCACGCCTACATTAATACGTTCGCGAATGTGAACTACAGATCCAAATGAGGTGTTTGCACTTACGGACTTGATGGCACGCGTTTGGTTCACTCGCGACCACGCCTACATAAATGGAAGCGCTAATGTGAACTATTACATACCATCGGTCTCACAGATCCAAATGAGGTGTTTGCAATCGCGGACGTAGTTGCGCGCGTTTGAGTCTACGTGCGACCATGCCCCAATGCTTTTCTGAAATATGAACTAATACCTGCCGCCTTCATATATCCAAGTGAGCTGTTTGCACTTGCGGACGTAGTGACACATGTTCAGTCTACATGCGACCCTGTCCATATGCAATGCGTTTTTGAAATATGAAATAGTACCTTGCATCGCCTTCAGATATCAAAATGAGGTGTTTGCACTTGCGGACGTGGTGGCACGCGTTTGAGTCCACGTGCGACCACGTTTACATAAATGGAAGCGCTAATGTGAACTATAACATACCATCGGTCTCACAGATCCAAATGAGGTGTTTGCACTTGCAGACGTAGTGGCGCGCGTTTGAGTCTACGTGCGACCATGCTGCCCCGATGCTTTTCTGAAATATAAACTAATACCTGCCGAATTCATTTATCCAACTGAAGTGTTTGTACTTGCGGACGTAGTGGCACGCGTTGAGTCTACGTGCGACCCTGTCCCCATGCACTGTTTTTTGAAATATGAAATAATACCTGGCATCGCCTTCACATATCAAAATGAGGTGTTGGCACTTGCGAAATGAATGACTCGCGTTTGGGATCACGTGCGACCTATGCCAGATGCAATATGTGCGCGATGATGACCTAACATACGACATTGCTCTTCCCTTGGCGACTCCAGCGAAATCGACGGCGCCAAGAGGCTATAGGACAGAAAGCTGTGGCGGCAGGTTCGCTGTCCAGCATTCCCTTACGAATCAGATATTCACAGCGCCTGGCGGTCAAGAGACAAAGCCGAGGAAGTCTGTTAGAAAACACACGACGAAAATCGCCAATATTCAAATGAGGCATTTGCACGTGTAAACATATTGCAGTCTTCACGCCGCCACACCCCCGCAGAAGCCTTTTGCAAATGTGATCTCATATCTGTCATAGCCTTCAAATCAGTGTTGCCACACTGCCACTTCGGTTTTTCCCTCGTCGAGTCGCGAAAATTACCTTTTTTCCCCACAACACCATTTTAGATGCAAAAGTCGTTTTTAAGATACGCATGACGCCAAGTATATTTAAGTGCAGCAACACCTCCCGTATGTTTTTGTTTTGTAGAAGTTTGCATCGCATAAATTAGAAAATGTAGAAGTTGACATTCGGCAAACTGGTCTCCCTTCCCGAACCAGGGGAACTAAATGAAGGCAAGCGGGCCATTAACTACACTAAACTAAAATCGCCTGCTCGTTTTCGTGTTGTGAAAGGGACCGCACCCACTGTGCAATCTATGATCTATCGCACTGACAGAACTTGTGTCTGTAGCTAGCGGTGAAGAAAGCGCACAACCCGGCAGTACTGTACCGGCAGGCCTGCAGCACACAGATGATGCAAGTCGTGATGAATTAGATTGGCCCTTCAAAACAGAAAACTGTCTGAGTAGCTAGTGCCACTTCCTTTCTCTTGTTCGATGTAAATAAGAAAATTACGAAATTTTGGTTCAGTTCTTTGTTAAAAAAATATTTCCCACGTTTTCTATGTGTTTAAATTCTGGTTTCCCCCTTTCCCTAGCTGTCATGCTTTTTCCACAATGTGGGGAATTTCCCACGATTCGGCAACACTGCTTCAAATGATGTTTCCACTTGCGAACGAGATGACACGCGTTTAAGTCCAGATGCGACCGCGCCCGCATACAATTTTTGTTTGGTTTAAATGTGAACCACACTAAAGGCTAGGAGACACAAAAAAAGTGCAAGGTCACCACCGCCTACTCTTGATTATATTACTTGGCGATTACAATCGCACAAAAAGATGACCAACGCTGTGACATCGCGATATCGCCGCCTCGCTTGGCCCTAGCGGCTCGTCCAGTCGTTTACGCTCTAACTTATGGTGAGGAGGAGTGTACTATCCGCCGTCACTCTCATGTATACTGTTCAGGTGCTTGCACTTGCGAGTGGGATGGCACACGTTTAAGTTCATGTGCAGCCACGCCCACATGCAATACAGGGGCTCTAATCTGGACACTTGGCGAAAAAGTGGGCGAGGAACTCGAACGCCGTGATTGGCCAATGCCAAAATGAAGCGCGGCACCGGGCAATCACGGCCGCGGAATTCCTCGCCGACTTTTTCGCCAAAGTGTTCAAATTAGAGCCCCAAATGTAAGTGCGAACTAATATTTGAAATTGATCTCATGCTTGGTTCACATGATGCGATTTTACCTGTGATTTCGCAGTTGCGACGTCCCTCGTGCGGCGAAAATTTCGCGCTGGAAGCTGGGGTTTTTAACGTCGCAACTGCGAAATTGCAGTTAAAATCGTAGCCTGTGAATCGAACATTACATCACACGTTCTAATGAGGTGTTTCAACCTGCGAACGGGATTTGAAAGGGGGGAATTTACTTGCTGATCCAGCGTAGTGCACCTGGCTTGCGAATCGGATGACACAAGTTTGAGTCCCCGTGTGCTCACGCCCACATGCAAGACAGGTGCGAATGTGAACTCTGTCCATCATTTTCACATATCCACACGAGGTTTTTGCAACTGCGAACGGGATGGCACGGGTTCGAGTCCACGTGCGACCACGCCCGCTTGCAGCGCTTGCGCAAATGGGATATAATATCCGCTATCGCCCACACATATCCCAATGAAGCGTCTGTGCTTACAACGATATGGTACAAGATGACACGAGATGCGAAGTGCCTCTTAAGAAGTGCCTCTGTGTGCGAATGGGGGCGGCATCGATTAAGGCCTAGACGCAAAGAAAATTTACCAACCTCCGGCAAACAGGAAAGCCCAATAAGCGGCACCTCGGGGGTCATCGACCAGAACGGACCTCGAAAAACTAGAGACGCCCGCAGAGAGAAAGGCGAACAGTGAAAACCAGAGCCCCGTACACGGGGGACTCTGAGGTAATCCCAGGGAAGCCCATCCACACGGCCCTCGTATGCACGGACCTCGGGCACGTAGCAGCCGTTGTCGTCGTCTTCGGGTCGCAGCAGAATGGGTGCCGTGCCAGCCACGGGCGTGGCCTGGACCCCCGGGGGCAATGTTCCCGCCCGGCGGGCCCCGATCTCGGCCGCCTGGAGCGCGAGAGCGGCCTCGAGGTTCCCCGCGGACAGATCGAGGCCCACCTCGACCGAGGCCTCCTTGGAGCGGCGGAGCTTGTACTCGCGTTCCCGCCGCCGCCGCTCCTGGATCTTGTTGTGACACGTGATGCTGATGGAGGCGCACATGCCCACTACCAGCGCTGAGAACACCACCAGGATGACGATCATGTGCTTCGTCGACAGCACCACGCCCACGTTAGAGCCTGCAGAAACACGGTTTCGTGGTGTTAGGTTCTCGTCCTTTCCGGGGAGACGACACGCCGTCTGCGTTGCTGAGGTCGGCCACTCGCTTTCCCTTCTAGTAACGGGGGAAAGTTTCGCGGGTATACTATTTATGTTATTTATATACAACAGTGCGAACCTTTCGTTCAACCCAGGAGAGAATAAATAGTCACAAGAAACAAAACAAAAACACATTCACGAACTCAGACGGGTCGTCAGACTTGTGTAAGCTCCAGGGTCAACCCTGCACAATATTCTTCAAGCATGCATAGGTTAACTGAGATAACACTCGCGTAATCTTGAGTCAAACGACTTCATATCGGCGCAGCCGAAGGCTCTATTAGGTATAGAACGCTTACCTTAGTGCACGCACACGCAAAGGTCCGTGAAAACTAACGAACTTTCGCTCAGTAAACTACTCGGTGAGCTTTTGTCGCGTTCTGAAGCTCGCGGCCAACGGAGTGTCTCTTGCCACACGGGCGTCTGTGTAGAACAGTGATTCTGAACCATTGGTGGTTCGCGGACCCCTTGGGAATACGCGGAAATGATGGAGGACCCCATTCCAAGTGAGGGAAAGCTATATGTTAATTATGATAATGATTTAATAAATGCATATAACTAAGGTATATTGTGAAGTAGACTTCTCTCATTGACATACACACAAAAAATCTCACCCGAAAATATAAATGTCCCTTCGCAATCTATAAAAAAAAAAAAAATACAACTTTTATTGCCAGCATGACTGGTGAGGCAGCGCTTCGCGGACGAACCACTGGTGTAGAAGACAGACGTGCTGCTAAGTTTAAAACATACTCCCACAATGTTTGTAGTGCGTTCGAAGAATGGTACAGAGGTCCGGCAAATGAATTTGCTTAACGCAGTTGAGACCTGAATGGTCAACAGTGCCATGCGGAGAAGCAGCAGCTGCGCGGGGCAGTTGGGAATGAGGTTGGAACGGAACGCCACTGTTTCCTCCTGTTGAATTGAAGCAGTTCGTTCCATGGCTTAGCATGCCGGAGGCACCCCATGCGACATTTTATCGGCTGGTGGGATCGACTGCGTTGCAACCGCCTGGGACAGTGGCGCCATCTATTGGGGAGACTTGGAACATTTCCGATATGCGTATAGTTTACTCATCGTTTTTTCCCCGACGTGTTCCGAATAATTATACGGTATGAGCGACAATTCATTTGACATAGTGCGTAGATTTGGTATCGCAAATACTGCAAAACCTTCAGTCTAGTTATACGCAGATCAGAAGGGTTCCAGGGGTAGCTGATAGATGACGCCAGTGTGCCAGTTTGTTCCAGCCTTTATCGTGCGAAACGTTCTCAAGGGGCGAACACATTATCCAAATTTACATGTTTGGGCACTGTATATACCGGTTAATAAGAAACAACACTGAACTCTAAAAAAACACCCGTGCGTCTACTTTTCCGCACAACGCTCGGAGAGCCAATCAGCGCAACTTACGGAGGCAGCTCAGCGAATGACGATGCCGAAATATATGTTTAGACCAAAAAACGCAGTATGAGTTGTTACATTAAACAATGCAAGCGTGACGTTCTGCATTACTTAATGTCACAACACAGACTGCGTTTTTTGGTCTAAACATATGTTTCGGCATTGTCATTCGCTCAGCTGCCTCCGTAAGTTGCGCTGATTGGCTATCCGAGCGTTGTGCGGAAAAGTAGACGCACGGGCTTTTTTTTAGAGTGTCTACTCCGTGCACCCTTAAGGCCGGTTCAGACATTTGCGTTTGAGTGCGTTTGACTGCGTTACGTCGACAACCGAAAGCGAGTCGCCGGCACATCTGTGCTTCGTATGAAGCGTGGAACACAATTGAAGGAATCATCTTGGCACGCGATATAAGCAGCAGAGATGTCCTGGTTTCTCGAAGAAGCAACGCAGTCAAACGCAGTCAAACGCAGTCAAACTCAACTGTCTGAACAAGACTTTAGGCTGAGACTAGAAGATCCGCATTCAGCACGAGCATTCTGCCCTTGCTAACACAGGTGCGAACGCACAGGCACGCGCAACCACAGCACTGCGGAAGCCAGCGAGCTCGCGTTGAAGGCGGAGCTTCTAGGAGGTTTCTGAGATCGCCTAAGTATGGCGACAACTCTGCTGACTCCAGGTATCCTAGAAATCCCTAAATCATGACGATACGTGGTCATTTTCCCATTAAAAAAAAAACAACAAAACAATGAAAGATTGCAACACACCGATTTCATCTTCGGCGATGCGATCTTCCGAAACCAGGACCACTGGCAGTCAATAGCAAGCAAAGGATCCTGGCGCCTCCGACCGATGGAAACCCGGAGTGATATCTCAAATGCGCGACTACGATTGAGCCCAGCGAACGCGCGCTCGAGCGCTCGAGAAGACGATTATTGCAGTATTATGTCCCCTGTCTGCGAAAAATTAACATTTTTTTTTTTCAATTACTCTTACTTGCTTCTATCATCTGCAAAAGCGTACAGATTTTGTAATAACAGCGTCTGCAATCTCAACGAATTGTCGCGTCTCCATTGGTCACATGTCGTCCTGGCTGCCGGAATGTGACCAATAAAAACACGACATTTCGCTGTGATTGCATACGCTGTTATTACAAAATATGTACGCTTTTGTAGATGATAGAAGCAAGTAAAGAGTAATTAAAAAAAACAAAAAACAAAACGTTAATTTTTTGCAGTCACGGAACGTAATAGTGCACTAATCGTCTCAAAAACAACTACGTTTTCTTTTCTTTTCTTTTTTTTTTCAACGGAAGTGATGTGTTTGGTCGTCAGTTCACGAGCGCTCGAGAGCTGACCGGTATCTGCAGTACCCCGGAGATCATTTCGATCTTTGATTGCGTTTTTAATAGAGAAATCGGCCGCGCAGCGTTATGATTTATGGCCTTCTAGGAGCCCGCAGAGTGAGTTATCGCCATATTTAGGCGATCTCAGAAACCTCCTCAGGGCACCTTTAAGGGTGAACGGAGTAGAGCGGCGCCAGGGCACACGTGGGTTCCAGAGTACGACCCCGGACGCTGGAACGAAAATAGCGTTTCGAGCGTGTGATCGACCAGGGCGCAGAAGGATCGATTTCCGCTCCCGCAGAATTTAATTCGGATCGGACGTTGTTATTGCCTTCCGTGACTAATTATTCAGTGTTCACGGTGTGGCCCTAGTTCACACGGCGTCTGTCCAACCAAAACAAACCAGGCGTGGGCAGCACGAGATCATCAGAGATCCGCAGCAGGAACAGCTGTGGCTTCCGTTTCTTTACGACCCGAAGAGCTCGTAGATTCCATCCGCCCCTGAGCTGACAGTGCGGTGAGAGCTACGAGCTCGCTAAACCAATAAAATGCTTTCCTTTCATCACCCGACACCGCTCTCCGCGCTTGAGTCATACGTGGCTGTTACTTCATGACCCTATCGACCCGCTCAATTTTGCGGGAAAATGTTCCGCTAAATTTAGCCGAAAATTTTCCCGACAAATTTAGCGGAAAATTTCCCCGCCGAGTTTAGCAGAAATTTTCCCACTAGATTCAGCGGGTCGGTAGGGTCATGACGTCACAGCCACGTGTGACATCACGCGTTATGTGACACGTGACACTACCGAGCAGACCACGCACACACGCTTGCACGGCTTTGGAACGAGCGCTGGTTTGTATGAGAAGGCTTTGCAAACGGGGCCCGATAACGCTATCGCGTTTCACTCTTAAAAGCCAAGCTTAATTAAACGTCCTCCAAGTTTTTTGTTTGTTTCTTCAGTAAATTGTATTGCTTCCTCAGAAGACTGGTTTTGTCGATCATGCGTCTTCCGCTGAAAACTGAGCGTTCCAAAAGTTCTTGCACCGATACGACGCGCAGCACTTTTCACAGGGTTCCGACTTGGAATTCTTAACGTTCTTGAGTAGCCCGACGATTTGATGCACAATGGCGAGATCGCTACTGAAGCGAAATTTGCGCGGGACATTAAAGGGCACCCTCGAAGCGTACAACCCGCGACGATATATAGAACGAATTTCACGAGAACGGCGACATCGCCTTAAAATAAGACCTATCCCGTAATTCCCGGCACTGAAAGCTCGAGATATCCTTTTGCATTAACGACGTTAACAGACGACATCGATTACCGCCAAGACATCCGAGCGTGCCTCGCGCACATATAGCCTTACGCGAGTGCTCCAGAGCGACATCAGTGCGATCGAATTAACCTTAATCTCATCAGAGTGCCCATTTTCGAGGGATTTCTGCGTCTCGCGGTGTGATATTTAAAAGTTCCCGGCGTCTCAAAAATGTCGTCCCGGGAACTTCGGGGCGCAGTGCGCGCGACTCTACGGCGTTTTACTCGATCGTCTTCGTACCTTCTCTACGGAGAATATTCGATAAAAAAAAAATTATTAAGAAACTGCGGTTTAATTTTATTAAAAAAACAAAAGAAACGTGAATGGAACCGCAGGATGTGGTGATTCCCGCGGGCATCAACGCGGAAGAACGAATCATGAGGCAATAAGTGGAAGCACAGTCAAAAATATACAGCTGAAACATGGAATATTTATAAATACGCGCGTAATTTTATGCACGAACCAAGTCTAATCATGGTCTTTTTTTTTTCTATTATCTCGTTTCCTTAACCGACAATCCTGAAAGAAAGAAAAAAAGTCGAGTGTTGGACGTTTTAAATTGTTCTTAGACCCGTGTCTATTTTAAAGGCCCTAGTTTAGTTTTCGGGAGGGGTCACCACGGCTTCGCCCCGCGTCACTTTTGTTCTATCGTTTGAAATCCCGGAGCAAGCCAAAGGTTCCCTCCGGTTTTGCCCAAAGAAAGGCCTTCCGATTCAATTCACGCCAGTGTCTCTGTGCAAAAAGAGTGGTGCGTGCGCAGCAGAAGCAGCAGCAGCAGCGGCAGCCTGTCCCGTCGATTCTTCCTAATGACCGAGAACATTTCTCTCGACCTCTCTCTTCCTCGGCTTTTTTCTGAGCACAGACCCCTCGCACTTTTCTCTATCTCGCTCGCACCCTTACTTTTTCTTTTTCCTCAGCTTTTCTCTTTGTTTTCGTCTGTCTCGCGGTGCACTTCTGCTCTTGGCGTTTGTCTGCCGGCTCGGTGCGCCCCCCCCCCCCCCCCCCCCCCCTTTGGCCGCGTGTGTGCGTGTGTACACGGCGGCTGCGTATGGCTGCATGTTTGCTGGCGCGAGCGAAATCGCCGGAATCCCTCATCAAGGATTGGAACGGTCATCAACGTTCGGACTTGGAAAGAAAACGGCGGAGGAGAGAAAGAGGGAAGATACCAGAGAAACGAAAGAGCAAACTGTGGCTTGCCTTTTCTGTCCGAAACGTATTCATGACTCCCGCGACCCCCCCTCCCCCCCCCCCCCCCCCCCCCCCCAAAAAAAAAAAAAAAAAAAGGATAAGGGGCGAGGCGAATATTCGGCGGAAGCAAAAGAAAGAAAGACAGGACCCCCAACTTTCCAGCGGTCGTCTTCGAGGTGCAATTTTATTTCGGATTCTCTAAGTGGCTTTGGCTCGATTCATGGGAATGACGTTTATTTCGAGCATATTGCCGAGTCCAGAGATTGCCTGTTCCTTCGCTCGATTTGGTGTCGCCTTTTAGAAACTCGTGCTTAAAAGTTTCGAGGAAGCGATAGCAACGAAGAAAGTAGTGAATAAAAATTTCTCCTTTCACGCTGGCTTTTCTTTTTTTTTATTTTTTTTTTGCGCGAGCGTTTTTGAAATGACGTGCTGCTTCTTTTGACAAATCTTTCCCCTAATTAATTTTGGTTTAAAAGAGGCTTACATGTTGCTTCGTTCATGCGCCTGACTGCTCTCACCACATTTCATGCGCGCACGAGCATTTCCTTTTATTGTCTAGTCACGACATCCATTTCGAGTCTCTGCATATGACTCGATTTCACTCATGGTTCCCACCCACAGGACTGAACCCTTTGAACGTATATCCACGATTCTGCCATTCTTTCTGGAAAGCAAATTTTGAGAGCACTTTTCGGAACACAACGAGGTCACCATTGGATTTGTGGCTTGTGCCCGTACCATTTCTATATCCCACCACACATTTGTTGCGCATTGTATCGCTCTCGCGCGTGCCTGAGCAATACTATCTTGCACATCTAAGCACGAGACCTTAGTTGTGCAAGACGTTATGTTTGCACGAACACGCTCACAACAAGAAAATGATCAGTTAAAGCCACGTGCTCAGGCTCCTGACCTCCACACCGTTGCACATAACTCTTGAAAAGAGGGAGTATTCACATGACGTCACATTTCAATGCGGTCCTACTTTAGCCGCCATCGCAGTGTGCTTGGTGTATACCCACGGAAACGTGCAGAGGCGCCTTTTTACCTGCCGTTCTTTGGAGTGTTATCATATGTGGTGTTGTTCTCGCAGCCCAGTTTCTTGCTTTCGTGTTTCTATGGTGGTGCGCATATGGCCGATAGTCACTGAGCATCTTCAAACGTCCATGTGCTCGATTGAGCGACCGTGCACAGCTGTCCAAAGACGGGTACCTTAGAGGTTCTCTGTAGTGGCAACGGTCCGGCGCGCCTGTTCAAGGTGCAGGCAGCAGTTGCAGCTCGGTGACGTATCAAAGGTATAGAGTAAATAGGAATCCAAGATTGCCTCGTGCACCATATGCTAGCCCTATACGCACCGGCAGCCGTTCCCATTTGTGACCATAAAAGCAGACAACATACGCTAAGTGTCAATTCCATTCACACGGCGTACGCTGTGCGTCCAATTAGACTTTTTAGCCGATCATAAAGGTTCAATTTGGGTACATGCGCCCCCCTATAAACGATACAAGCGGTATGTTTTGAAAAAAAAGAGTTGGTTTATGAAAACTAAGACGAAACTGATTCCTTAACATTATGCTCCAACGTCTATCGCGCGCATAATGCGAAATTTAGTTGTCGTCCTTTCGCTTCCATCGGAAATTCGGGAGTTATTAGCGTAAACGGTTAACCACGAGAATAATGTACGGCTATCTGCCAGAAAATGGTCGCTCGGGAACACAGAGTGCTTCGCGTCCAACACTGTTGCTCGCGCGCTTCGACAAAGCCGCTCGACACGACGACGACCCTCCAGCCATTCTTGTTTTTCTTCTTCCGCTTTGCCACGTACGATGTTCGGTACGAAAAAACAAACAAACAAACAAATTATTGACGCAGGTTATCCCCGTCATTTGCTTGTTCTTGAACCCACCACGGCGCAGCCAACCTTACAAAACACCTGCCGCGAATCGCGATTTTGATCACACCAATGGCGGACGAAAGGCGATTTCGCTTCCCGTGACGCATCGATTCAAGCAGAGTGAATAACCTTATAGATGTGAGGGGAGTCGTTTCAGCATCAATGTTACACTTGGTTCTCAGCAAGCGCAACGAGCGTTTAACAAAAAAAAAAAAAAAAAAAAAAAAAAAGAAAACATGGTTGGCGTTAGCATTGTGATTATCCTCCATCCCTCACAGACAGTAACACGGCCGCTGCCAACAACGTAAATGAGAATATTCGCAGTGTTCGTGCAAGCAGCTGACCAACTGGCAGTAATTCGCACGCGTCGGAACACTGCTGCGCACCTTTTAAATGAGGTCCTCATAAAAGCGATGATATGGCAAGTTGATTAATGTGGAGGCCGCGGCTACCCGGCAACAATTTATCTAATTAGCGCCAAATTACTCACAATCAAAAAGGTTAAGGTAAACTTCCTTCTAAACCAAATTCGTATGTTCCCTGCCAAAAGTAGACTAGAAAAAAACTTTCTTCTACAGCAAATTGGTTACAGTGCCGATTTCCACGAAAATCCGCACACGAAAATATTCAGAGTAATAATATAAAGAACAAGCAAACACGTCAATCTCTGCCTGTAGAGGGGTTAAATATAGCAGTCGTGCACGAATTACGAATCAAAAACGACTACAAAACTGCAAAAAAAAAAAAAAAATGTTACGAGAATTGTGGGGACGCGCTTTTGCAGTAAAGATGAGAGACAATGACTTTCTTTTGTTTTTGTGCTTTTAGTGGGTACCAGGAATTGTTGACTTCGGCTATAGAAACCCCGTCAATATATGATTCGTTCAAAAAACATTTTTTTCCCACTTAGGCAGGTTGTAATTACAGAACGTAAACAGCTGACACGCAGGGATGGGCGCATCAAAGCAATTCAAACACCGGAGCTCAGATTTCTCGGTGTTTTAGGCAGTAAAAGTGGGCAGATAGAATTGCACGGGATACCGATCCTCCCTGCCTTCGTTTATCGTTGGTTGTTTGGTCGAACGGCTATGCTTTGAAACTAAGTTTCACTGCACGCATTTAAAACAAGCACAAAAAAAAGTTGAAGGATCAACAAGTGATTTCCAATAACGAAACATGTCAGATCAAATTTCTATTTATCTGAGTGGTTCATATTTTTTTTTATCATATAACAGCATAATTTACGTAGAACAGCTATGTATGCTTTTTTTTTTAATGTTTTTTCTTGTGGCATACACTGCCCAGCTCAAATGTTATTGCCAGAAGTACGGAAGAAGTTAGGTCTCTTTGCGACAGGTAGATTGCCAGGTCTGAAAAACTTTTCTGTGAAACGTTGTCAGGGCTATTGGCGACGTGCGCGATCAAAAGCGTCGCTGTGATCGGCCTTCCACGATTGGCCAGATGCTGACTATGACGTCAGAAAAGGATTCATGACTGACGGAAATAAGAGGAATGGAAAAACTTCTATTTTGACGGTGTTGGCAGTGCTGATTTCAGAGCGCTATAATTTTAAGCTTCCACCATGCTCATCACAAGCACCATCAAACTTCTTGTTCGCAAGGTATTGACGTCACGAGAGGCGTCTCGTTCGCAACTCTCGTGCGAACGAGACGCCACATGAAGCCACGCGCTCGCGCAAGAAGCCGTCACAACGTTAGAATCCCGGGCAAACTACGATAGCCTTGACAATGTCGCACAGAAAAGTCGACGCCGGATGTAGTAGCATCGTGAATATGTTCCAGCGGTGATTTAAAGTTAAGCAATAGGCAGTCTTCGCAGAGAGTTACCGCGGGCTACCAAGAGCATGCTTCAGAGTTACAGCACGAGCTCACGGTAGCAACGCACGGCAAAGTTACGCTATAACTGCCCTCTTCGGCGCGAACCATACAACGTGTAACCATATTATTGGCAGAGAATCATCACCCAAGATTGATATATTTATTAAAAAAAAAGGCACAAACAAGAATGCTCAAAGATGAATGCCGTATGATCGGATCCTATGAGGACCGAGCGCTACGCTTGCTGTATCCGACATCCACTTTCTAAGTCAGAATGTCAGCATCGAGTACAAGGCAGCGCAAGTTCGATTAAGAACCTACGAAGCGACGGTGCACAACTGGTAGCGGAGCGATATCAGTACCTCGGGCTCGTACGTCAGACGATCAACAGTGATCACTCGATTGGCACTGAAATCTGCCTTCACGCCAAGTTGGACACGCCACCCGCGTGCAACTTAAGGAAACAATTAAGCCTACTAAAAAAAAAAAAAAATATATATATATATATCTGCATAAGGCATTTGTTTTTACATTAGTTCCTTATTCAGGATGTTTAAAATCTGAGCTCTTCCCCATTAGTTTCTTTTCTCAATTCACTCTGAGTCCTCTTTCTTTCTAAAAAAAAAAAAAAAAAAAAAAAAAGAAGTTGAAATTGCTGCTCACCGGTCTGACAAATGGAGGACTCTTCGTCGTAACGGTACTTGCAGTTGTACTGGTGGTTGCACTTGAGATTCACGTCGATGCACCAGCCGTCGTCGCAGCTGAACTCTGTCTCCGGGTCGCAGCTCTCTGAAATAAGCCAGAAGCGAAGACATCAATGAACTGAAGTCGAGTCGACGAAAGGCAGGCTTCTACGAAATCCAAGAGAAAAGTGTTCAAGTTAAGTTACTGAGTACCGGGGGAAATAATAACTGAGAACACGACAGTCAACTCTAAAAGGTGTCTAGTATAGAGTACTAATAACTCAAAAAGCAACTCGTCACGTTCATGATAAGAAACTAATTACCAAAGGACAAAATTCAAATCGCAGACCACCCTGCAATAATGAGGGAGAAAAGATGATGCCTATTGCGCCTTCCTCCTAAATTTCTACAAAAAACAAACAAAAAAAAAATTTCGGCTCAACGTTAACTTTGAAATACCAACACTAAATGAAGATGTTCTTTGACGTCTACCAAGTTAATTAAAAATATTTAAGAGTCAGTAACCTGTGTAGAGTATTAGAGTTACGTACAAGTCTAACGACGAAGGTCAATCCTCGGTGCTTACGCCGATATTCATTAACTGGAACCTAAATCTGATAAACATTCTGGCGAGCGCATAGAGCTGTTCGTAGCTTCCAGTATAGTGAGGAGTTCTAATAACCAAACATGCATTATATGTATAGAAAAAAAAAAAATCGCTTGTCAGGTGTCATGCAGTTTGCGCGTATCCTTCGATTTGGTTGATTTTTCAGCACTTGCCGATCAAACCGCTTTTTCTTTTCATTTGCAGTTACTTTTCCTTCGCGATACATATATTTATACGTGCTGTACTATACACTGAGTTCTAAAATAGAAGGATATTTTGTTTGTTTGTTTCGACAAAACATTTACCGATCTGGCAGCTCATGTAGAGGAGTAAGACATAGTTCAGTGCACCAAGTTCAACAAAACTAGCAAAATTTACAATAAGGAACGATAGAAAGCAATGAGGGTATAGCGATCCAAAAATATAATATATTTAATTACGTATGCGGCATACACGACAAAATTTGAATGATTATATTCACGATAAGATGAACCAGAACAGAAATGGCATATATGACCATATCAAGAATTGGGCAAGTAAGGTCATACTATAATACTATATATATGGCCACATATGGCCCATGTTCACCCAATTCTTCGTATGATTACATATGACGTTCCTGTACGGGTATTGTCCCTGAGGTAAACAAACCCAACGCAACATAAAGGGACAGCAACCACGTTATCCTCCTATTCAGACGAGATATCGGGATGCTTCGGTTCTAAATTATTAATCTGTTCAGTGCCGCATTAAACATTCAAAGGGAGGTGGGAGGAGGGAGGAGGGAGGGGGGAGCGAGCGGCCCGGGCGATCTTACTTGTCGTGTTTATTTTATTCCTCGCATCAAGGTGGAAGAGCGGAGGAAAAGCCAATGTCGTCGACGAAGTCAGGCATCTGGAGCACGCGAGGTACACGCACCGTCAAAGAGCCTCGGGGAGTGCGGCCCTCGCTCCGGAGCAACAAGCCGGCGGTGGTTTCTTTTGAGTCGTCAACTTCGTGCCTTTGAAATCGCAGGATTCGCAATACAGGGCCATCCGCGGGAAACCGTCTTTCAAGATCAAAGGTGATTGTAGAAAAAACGAAAAACAACAAGAACAGCACCACATATTTCTTTTTTTTATAGCTTGTGTCAGAAGAAAAGGGAAGAAAAAGAAAGAGAGAAGAAACAAAGAGAAATAAAGAGAAAGAGAGAAAGAAACTCCGTGTGGTAGCTCGTACAGGCAGCAACGAGCGATATCGAGCCATTCAGAAAAGCATGGCAATGTGAGTTTTCTTCGATAGTGCGCAGAAAGACCTCGGGACGGTCAGAAACGTTTTTGCCATCGAAAACTACGCGCTTCCTTTCGTTCAACGTCATTGTCACGTAGCTTGATAGTGGTTTATTCGGCATAAACTAGCTACTTGATCCGTGAAAAAAAACAACACCAACAACAATAACACAGCGTTAGCGGTTCATTTTTTTTTTTTTTTTATAATTTGATCAGTGCTAAACCTGCATTTTTACGTGTCAGTATTAATTCCTTATCTGCTTGGAAGTTAGCGTGGTGACGCGTTGCCCGATTTCTTCGTTATTAGTGTCTCGTGACGGCAGTGGCCCCCCCCCCCCCCCCCCCCTTCCCTCTTTCACTGCCTCATTGCACCCACTTGAGCCCTGCACCCGCAGCGGTCCCCCCCCCCCCCCCCCCCCCCCTTTTTTTTTTGTGACGCCACTGCGTGACGGTCCCCCTCTCTGTAATGCCATTTCGGCGCCTTTAGGGGTAAATATATATTCAGTAGATACACTTAAGCGCTGAAGATGTAGGGCAACGGGAATGATTTGAACTATTGTAAATCGGCCCCGGAGATGGCGCTTTATCCAATAGCAAGGGCGCCTCCGTTCGCGCCTGCGTACCAGAGTTCCTCGGGTCGCTCGGGCATCATTACCGCGGGAACACGGTGCTTCAGGCAATAAGCTAGCCAAAAAAAAAAAAAAAAAAAAAAAAAAAGAAGAGGTAGGACGGTGTGCGAGACAAACGCAAAGGAGCAATACGCTCCCTTTCCACTATCGGACCAGAGCGCCGCCCCCACCGCGCTGTCAGAAGCAAAACAGAACTAACGGACATTGTCGTGAAATTTACAGGCAGGGCTTTAATAATAACGCGGGAACGAAACAAGGAGTGTCCGACGAGCAGGCGTCTGCGGCCTAAATTAAACAGGAAAAAAAAAAAAAAAAATAACCCGAAAGAAAAAAACAAAAAACCTTAAAGGAAAATGAAGTAAAGATACAGGCAAGCGCAACAAAATGGCGGTGCTCCACAGACCCTAGCTGCTGCGATGCGAGCGATGCTCTAGAAGAGTGGTCCGCCATTTAACGGCCCAGGCTTCACCCAAATGTGCACTTTTTGTTTGCCTCTACTATTTTTTTTTTCCTTTTTGCTTCCCCCTCCCTTGTCCACCCGTTTTCCTTTTTTTTCGAGGGCGAGAAGAGAGGAGGTTGAATTCCCTCGTCCTCCCTTCTCTCGCGTTTCGCGGTTGCGATCGTGTTATTTTGCTAGGTTATCTTCCGTCTCCCCGCCAACCAATACAAGCAACGTTGTTGAAGTTGGCTTTCCTTCCTTTACCCGTTATAATATGCGTTTTTTTTTTCTTCTTTTCGCTCTCTTCGCGTTAGCCGCGAGGGGAGGAAAGGGAGGGCTTTAGGAGTTGCTCATAACGACGCCTGCCTTGCATTGCTCTCCGCGGCCGGAGTGGTGGCGCGTGTTTATGAGCGACTGCAGTGCGCGCGAGTACACGCGGCGTGCAAATGAGAGGTAATGTGACGGGACCAGGCGCGCCGCGGGCCTCGCGTGCCTGCCCCCGCTGTCGTTCCTGGCTGACGCTGGGCTGCTTGCTGTCTCTCTTTTTTTGTTTTTATTTTATAAGAGACCACCGCCGCGCGAAGGAAAGCGACGGATTTATGGCCGGCTCGAGAGTGCGCCGCATGTCGCACGAAGAGGTCGGTTGTCCACATAACCTCTCGATCGAGCCAGGTTTGTCGTTCAAGGCTGAACGCTGCGTCTAACGCGGTGCGCTAGGGACGCGAGCGGTTCGCGAGGCGTAATACCTAAACTGCAAGAGAGAGAGAGAGAAACAGATATATTTATGTGTTTTGATTATTTTGATAAACCGAAGGAGCACACAGAATGTGTCATGCGTAAGTTATGCGTGCGCTATGTTTTGTTATGCTTTACACTGAATAGCTTCGGGCGGTTGCAAATGCGTCGCACGCGCGGCGCACTCCTATGCTCTTCCGGTTTATCAGAATGTTCGAGAGAAGTTCAAATTTATTCATGACCCGTGACGTCGTGAGGTCGCGGGTCAGCTTTTGTTTGCGTTGAGGTGTCTGACGTCTTAGGAGAACGAATATCATTCCAGGGACAAACTCACCCCATCGTCAATTAATTAAAAAAAAATGTTGAATTAAAGTTTCGAGTAGAGAATTCTAAATGACACGTACTGAATAAAAAACTCTAATATACTCCCATTCAAATGTATCCCTGAGATACTAAAATACTACCAGAAATATATCATCTCTAGAGTACTTTGAACAGAGTGTCTAAGATAAGTACAAATCTTGAAGCTCAAGCAAGGCGTGTCGTGAACCATCGGGACGTGACACGTTGTGTCAGTGTCACGCCGCGTGTCCTCGTGTTTCGGTCTGCCTCCCAAAACAACTGGGTACGCCAAGGAAAAGCCGAATGGAGCCAAGAAAAAAAAAGATAAAAAAAAAAACACGCACAAGAAAAGAAAACCAAAGGGGAGTGTCGGAATATGATCAAGCCGCAGGCAGACGTTGTTCTTTGATATGCGCATCGATCACTGTCGGTTGGGACTGCCGTGCGCTCCGAAAACGAGATGCAGGATGACGTTCTGATGGGCCGATGTGTTCTCTCGCCGCCAGGTTGTGTGTACGCACTTGTACACACGCCTCTCGGGGGCGCGGGAAATGATTGCAGCGGCGTCGGCCTAAAGGAAACAATTTCTCGAGAACTCCTTGGAAAGACTTGGAAATGGATGAGGGCTCCGCGCTTTCGGCTTCAATTTACAACCGGGCGAACGAAGCGAAGGGGGCGCTTTACTTTCAAAGCGCAGCACCCGCGAATGAAACAAGCGCGGGAAAGCGGCACCCGAATCGATGGTCTCTTCGGTTCATTCTGAACTCTGGCGAGCTCAACAGGCGACCAACGTATATCGAAAACAAAACGTACTTGTAATCGAACAATTGCAAAGTTATTCGTGCGAGTTTCTCATCGGATTTCGCCTTGTATAAGCTTCGGCAGCAGCTGCTACCGCTGGGTCCATTTTGGGTCGCCATTTTTATTTTTAGATACAAGCGAGGAACGCCGACGAAGTTTTCACAATGTAGTTGAGCTTTTCTTGACGTTCTAAAATCACTACAGAAAAGCGTAAAAAAAAAAAAAAAAGATGAGGACAAAGAAGGGGGAGTATACATAAGGAGGAGGCAAAAGCAGCTAGCTCTGTGTCTACCCACAAATCATTCCAACCACAGTTCGGTGTTCCGACGTCCTTGCGCGCTCTCGTCTCGTTCTCGGCACGTATAGTCACAGGCAATGTAAAGTGAGAATGTCAGGGTGCCTCTTCCCAACGTCCGGCCTCTAGCAACCGCTCGTTGCCTGCTGCTATATGTTCTGGTGTCACGCGCACGCTCTAGGGCCCACGAGAAGTCAAAGCGTTATCGAAGGTAGAAAGTAATGGAACGTATACCGCCTTTCATTCACTGAAATTTGTCCTGTCGATAGCTCGACTGGTAGAGCGGTAGACTGCAGAGAAAACGATGGCCGTCACTCAGGTCGCTGGTTCGAATCCGGCTCGACGGGGGGAAATCTTTTCTATACTAAGCGCGATGGTGGCAGCCGCTGGGAGCAGTCATCTGATTGATGACGTAACCGGGAGTTTTCGCGAAGGACGACCGTGCTATTTCCCTGGGAGGTTCCCACTAACAGCTGTCGCTGCAAAAAATAAAAAAAAAGAAGAAAAAGAGAGGTAAGCAACAACAAGAAAATGACGCGTTGGCGCACCAGTCAAGCCTCAGGGCCAAGCGCTTGTTGGAAAACGCGCTTCTGTCGTAAAGGTCGATAACAAGCGGACTATGAGCGGCGTTAACGAAATGGTAATCTAATGGAACTCGGCGAAATATTTTTCTCACGTCGCGACCAACGTCTTTCGTTTAGGCGTAAACGCGCAATAAAATGAGTACTCCGGGTGAAATCTTGGAAGGCTGAATCGCTCTCCCCCTTTTGAAAGCTTAAGTCTTGCGCCACCGGCGGTATAAATGTGAACATTTCGACCGTGTATCAAGCATCCTCCGCACGGCGCCCGTCCAGTTTGGAATGTATGCAGTCTCATAATCTCTCAGTCTGCTTGCAGAACTGTTTGTTACCGGCATTTAGTAGTGGGCGCAGTTGGGCAACGCAGGCGGGAGGCTGTCATAAATACTCTCCTTGCGAAATCCTCGAGTGTGCTGGCGTCATCACCTAGAAGTTCGGTAATCCAATTATCACGCAGACATCACTTTCCCTGGTGACATTTGGCATTAAGAGCCTCTACTGTCGTTTCCGACGGGCCATTGGTCAGACCGCGCCGGCGGCAAATAATCCGACTAGGCAAGCCATGGCTCTCCAGGTCATTTCACTTTGTATCCGTAGCCTGTTACTAGATTGTTTGTCTTTTTACGGAGCGCAGATTTGATGGCATTCCGTCGTTTAAAGGTTATCGTGCTTAATTTGCGTGCGCACTTAGATCATTCGCAACCAGGAAAAAAAAATGCTTATTTTGATTTAGAGTGGAGAATAAAAGAACAAGTTGATTTAAATCACGATTTAAATCACGATTTAAATCACGCCCGTATAACATAATCAATATATATAGGTGCATGCAACTTCTTCGGCTAGGGAACTCAACTGGCAAAATATCTACTGCAATAAAGCTAAGTTGCACATAACCATCTTGTTTGGTTTGTTGAAGTTACAGTTAGTATGAAGCAACTTTCACTGTGAAGTCAGTGCCATACTGGTTTTCATATGCCAAGAAGAACAAGAACGTAGAGTCCCAGAACCTTCTGCCCGGGAGCTTCGCGCGAACAACACTCACCGGCGCTGGTGATCTCCCTGAAGGCAGTGAAGAGGATGGAGAAGTTTGCGCCCTTGAGCGCCCCGTGCTCGGCGTAGTAGCGCACCTTGACGTGGCTCGTCTCGGACCGGGTCGGCTCGGCCATGGTGCCGCAAAAGTGCTGCAACCGCTTGTGCTGCGGCTCGCCCGCGATGATGTCGATGAAGTTGGATCGGCAGTTGTTGGGGTCGGCCAGCTTGTAGTAGGTGAATGTCAGGTACACCTGCGCAGCCGTAAGGTCCCAATGCTAGAACCATGATGTCGGCTATAGAGGCCGACATCGATACGATTCAGAGCGTATAGCTTCGCTAAGAGGAGAAACTCAACAACACAGGTTCGTACCAGCCGCTCGCAAACACCTGTGTTTGTTTTTGGTCGGTGAACGAGTCGTGTATGGGGAGAGCTCGGTCAATAGGGGCCTGGCCACAACAGAGAGCCTTATTACAGAGAGTTTCCCACTGCTGATCCTGTAAATATGTAAATTCCCACCTGTAATCCTACTAATCCTGTAAATTCCCACCGATCGCCGCAACTCTTTTCATGGTTTGAGAGGGGCCCTCTGTTCAATCTACCTAGGCTGTCTAGGTTACAGCAGCGGCGGTGGCGCCACCATAGTCATATATTCTCCCCGCTGTTGAAGTGCGAACTATACATGAATTTCAAACATTCGATTATTCCCGTTCATGAACTAAACAATGACAAGTGACGTCGAAAAACTGAAAACAGGAAAGAAAACAAAACAGAAAAAGTTTTGAACTTGCTGGGCGAGCAGGCTGGTAGGCGCAAGCACGCGAACCCGAGGCAACGTGCGCCATATTTTCAGCCACTTTCAACTTTAGAGACGCCAAAACGAAGCAAATGATTAGGGATCGCATGCAGCAACCTAATTGCGGTCACCGCCGCCGCTAGGCCGTGAATTATTTGGGGCTTGTGGATGGCTCGAAAATACGCTCGCAAGCATGCCCAACCAAAGTTCGGTCAATGGCATATCCTTATTCTTGCGCCGGCAACCACAATTAATGACTGAACTCTTTCTCTCTACGGCTCTGGTTTCTGACAGTGAGGTCGAGACCCGCTTGGCTGGGATTCAACCAACTCCGCTGGCAGACGCGACGAAAATAGCTCGTTGGCATCCTTTACGGTGCTTGGTTGAATACTCGCATAGTAAAACTCAACAGTTAGCTGAAAAAAAAAAAAAAGGCAGCACAAATTGCAAACAATGAAACGCATTACTCTCAGAAATTCCCCACCGCTTGCCCCGTGATCTGTACAAAATAACAATTCATGCGTTTCTTGCCATTAATATGACCATTTTCAGGACTTGCAAACGTTGTGTGTCGAGCGCGAAGCAAATGCGATGTGATGGAAAACGCAGGACGCCTCCTGTCACGAAAACGACAATGCTTGCCTCGCGGTTAGTGGAGTGCAGTAAGCGTACGTTTAACGTCCACCTGTGATATGCAGACAAACAAAAAGTTTCGGAGTGCTTCTGCAGCACTGCTCTGTGTTTTCTTTAAAAAAAAATATGTATATATATATAAAAACTTTCATGTTAGGGAATGCTCTGCGTCCTTTCTGTTTAACTTGGGGTTTTGTTTCGCGCAGTTGTTTCCTAGCGTTAACCCGTTTTCGAATTTGCTGCTTATCGAAGAAAACATAAAACTATTCTCAGTTTCACCGAATTTTCGATTCATTAATCAATTTAAAAAAAATTGATCCCCCGCAAGATACTGGGAAAACGCATGTTTTTCGAACATTCATATACCCACGTCTATTTGGTAAATGAAATGAAAAAAAAAAAGTAGTCGAGCTGCCCGCAGTAATTTTCACTGCAGTTTTCACACCGCTGGATGAGCGGACGTTATAGGAAGTATTCACTGGCGGCCATGGTTGTGTGCGCGACTGCTGAGCGCGTGCTGATGGCGAGCTTCCACGGTTCTTTTGCAACGTGCATTCCACACCATCAGGATTGCCGGTCTTAGCAGCCTATTAATGTGGGCTCGTTCTGAGCATGCGCTCTAAACAGCACCCACAAATATGGCGCCCAGTAAATACTCCTTATACTCGCGAACAACACTTTCTGGTAATCGCGAAGGATTGAACAGTGCGCGTGCAAAGCTTTGCCCGGTACTCAACCTGCACGAGCACAGGGGCTGCCGTAGCCCTTGCCTTATGACGTACCTTATGATGTACCGCAGGAAAGGCTACAAGCGCGAGCTTCTTGCTCTGGGGCACATATCGTCGGCCCACGCTCTCGCGAATTAAGAGCTGCTGCCAACGCTACGAGCTTGCGCTTTTAGCCTTCTTTGTGGTACAACATAAGGTGAAACGGAGTATAAAGTGGAACCTTTTTCTCTGCGTTCGGGGGGTGCGGAGAGACAGAATTTCACGCGAGAAACACGCACGACTTTGCACGGCACAGACCCATAACGTTGAAAAGTAAGCAAGAAGAGAGAGAGAGAGAGAGAGAGAGAGAGAGAGAGAGAAAGCAAGAAAGAAAGAAAAGAAACAGGGTCGTATTGAAGTAAAATATTAAATTGACTTTTATCGAAGAATGGCTTTCGAGAACTCATTTTCTTCGCGTTAGTGACTCCTTTCAAGAGAACAGAATATCCCAACAAAAACTATAATACAGTTTGTAAAATGGTATATTAAAATGAAAAAAAAAAGAAGAAAAAAGACACCGCCGTTTCCCGGAAGAAAGGAAGGGAAGGAAAAATAGCAAACACTCAGCACCGCTGACTGAAAAGCAGAATAAGAGTTTCGCCCGCGGACACGGAAACATCGACTTTCGCCGTTTCAGAAATATAACTAAAGGAAACCGTGAAGTTTATATTTGAAATTCGGATCCGTTGAATTCATGAGGCTAAGATTGAGTATTGGACAAGGGCTACGATCTTATACTAGCTTGTACCCTAGCGCAATGCAACGTTCATGTTCTATTTAGAGTTTTCTGAAAATTCACACTGAATCACATGCCCGCACAAGCTTTAAAAAAAAAAGAAAAAAAAGCACTATGCACAAGTTAAAAAAAAATAAACCCCGCTTATAAGATACATTGCTGTTGGTGAAAAAAACAGGAGGCCGAAGCAGTTGTAACGCTCATACTACCAGAAAACGAACACGCTTGGTTCCGACGGCGATGCAGTGCTCAGTCTGCGTGTAAACATGAAGGCCATCCATCCAAACTTGCGCACATTACAATTATTCCGCCTTTGTGGAGAGTAGTGTATCCTGCCTGCTGAGAACGACATGATCTAAAATTGCTGCCGTCGAAGACACCTGGACAGCCGGAGAAATAACAATCTAATGGTGGGCTTGATGGGAACGAACACTGCGCTTTCATGGAGTTTGTGCAGTTGGCCCCGTTTTAATTCTCTGTCGCATTTTGTTTTATCATGCAGTGCATGCCGTTTATTTGCCAAAAAAACCGGAGGTTCATGTATAGCATGTATAGCTTGTATATTGCAGGACACTGTTAGCGCGATCACCATTTATTTCCTTTTTTTTTTCTTCTTAGAATCGGAGGACCGTCATCAATACTGCTCGTTTGGTGGAAAATGCTCATTTGGGGGACCAACTGAAGCAGCAGTATACTTTTAAAGTAAACTGAATACGCCATGGTGCGTTCGCGCTAAGGGTGTCACGCAGCGTATGTGCTAGAAGACAGACATCACGTAAATATGTAATTTTCAAATTTATCTGACGCGAAGGGGACAGTTTATTTATTTATTTATTTATTTAAGTACCCTCAAGGCCCTGGGGCATTACAGAGGGGAGTGGTACAAGACAAATTTGGAACACAAACAATATACAAACACTAAAAGCCAAGCACGAAAAATGTAAAAAAAAAATGTGTAAACAAATTAAGAAATGTATAAAACAAGGCAAACAAACAAAGAAAAATATTAACATAGGTAAGTAGTCAACGCACTTTTAAACAAGTCAAAGGATGGTATGTTTACTAATTGCGCGGGAAGGCGATTCCACTCTGAAGAAGTCCTTGGAATAAAAGAGTTATATAATAGGCTGAGGTAATGCAATGAGGAATTCCGACATGCGCATCGAGATGAAAACAGGATTTAACATTAGTTTGTTTTTTAGCGAAGTATTGGAATGATAAATTTTATAAAAAAGACACAAACGAGATATTTTTCGGCGTAATGAAAGAGCAGGAAGTGATAAATTAGTTTTCATAGTTGAGACACTAGATGTGCGATGATAGTTAGTAAATATAAAACGGGCACCGCGATTCTGTAGGGCTTCAAGATGAGTCACGAGAGTTGAGAGACCAGGATCCCAGATTGCGGCTGCATAGTCTAGTTTGGAACGGACAAGGGTTTTATACATTAGTAGTTTTAGGGACACTGGGGCTAACCTAAAGTTTCTCTTTAGGTAACCAATCATGGAGTTAGCGTTGGCGATAATGCGGTCAGTATGAGTTTTCCATGACATATTAGAAGTGATGTGCACCCCAAGGTACTTATAGCATGGTACAGTTTCAAGAGGAATTTCAACGATTGAGTAAGTAGGAGATATAGTAATTCGATGGGAGATAGTCATCGCTTTACATTTGTTAGTATTAAGGGACATTTGCCACAAATCACACCAATCAGCCACAGCTTGTAAGTCATTTTGAAGAAGTTCGATGTCAGTAGTATTAGTGACTTCTCGATAAATTACACAATCATCAGCAAAGAGGCTAATCGATGATGATACACACAGTGGTAAGTCATTTACGTAAATTAAAAACAACAGGTGCCCCAAAACAGACCCTTGCAGTACACCAGAAGTAACAGGTTTCATAGAAGAATTTATATTGTTAGCATGAACGAACTGAGAACGATCAGCTAAAAAACATGTAATCCAAGACAGCACGTTAGGATCGAGATTGAGTTGACTGAGTTTAAAGAGTAAACGTTTATGAGGAACTTTGTCGAAAGCTTTGTAGAAATCTAAAAAAACACAGTCAATCTGGGATCCACGGTCAAGTATGGAAAGTACATCATTAGTGAAGGTCAGTAGTTGGGCATTTGAAGTAGCTACTGATGAACCGCAAACGAGAGAGCTGATCAACCATGTGTGACTGTGAGCATTTATATATATATATATATATATATATATATATATATATATATATATATATATACAGGGATGGGCAAAATACATGCAAATATGTATCGAAATACAAATACAAAATACTTCGTCAAAAATGTATTTAATTACAAATCTAATTACATTTCCAAAAAAAGCATTTAATTACAAAATACAAATACAACCAAATGTATTTGGTCTCCTCCAAATACTTTTCCAAATACATTCCTCAAAATTTGCGTCAGCGACTTCAGGACACCTGCAACGGGTTTCTGGGTATCTCATTTTAATTTTGTATCACACACTCGGGAGTTAGTGTGCGAGGCTCTAGTAACGTAATAGAAATATAATCACAAAAAATGTAATCAGCTTGGACGTAATAGGTGAAAAAAGTACAGAGCTTCAAGCAGCTTTTTTTGCCGATTACATTTTGGTATAGACCAACAAGAACCGAGACGACCAAGACGCGCAGCACTAGCTAGAAAAATATTTATTGTTGCAACTCGCGCTAGTTACGAAAATCTGGACGACCCGTGCATTTAGAATGTTCCAGGCAAACATATGGATGGAAATCAGGCTGGAAAGCATCACAAGTTGTCACAGGAACTTATTTAGCCTGTCTGCCTGTGAACGTCGGTTTCGTCACTATTCTTGCCCTGGACTAGCACCGTAATCACAAAGTCACTAAACGCTTGTGCTTAATTGAGAGACACTGCATTCGATGCAGAACGTAGTTTTCTTCCTGCTCTGAATAGTGACAATAAATTTGAGAGATGTATTTTCGCCCACAAAATTATATTTAATTACAATTGTATTTGAAATTAAATACAAATGCAAAATACACAAAGTATTTGAAATACTGCCCATCCCTATATATATATATATATATATATATATATATATATATATATACAGTAGTGAACAAAAAGATATGATATTTTGTTTCCTTTACAGAAGTATTGTTCGACGTCTAGTTGATTTATTTATATCAGTTTCTACTCTATAAATACGTTAATGCAGTGTTCCATTAAAATTTTTATATCTGTATCACAGTTCGAAGAAAAGTTACCCACGTAAAACCGAAATATCATATCTTTTTGTTCACTACTGTATATATATAAAGATACAACGACGGGACAGAAAGCGAGAAGGTCTTGCTATTTAGAGTTGTAATACTGGCAACTATATTTATACTAGAGATACTCCGCGCCTCCACCAAATAATACGCAATATTGCGAGACAACACAGACACCTCTGACAAGTTGTGCTCTTCAGTCGACTGTCCAACAAACAAAACGTAGGTTGTAAGTCAGTTCGAAAATAGCTGGCGAGAACTGCACGCCAGCGGCCAACATCAACGGTCAATTTAGCTGAACATATTCGGGTTCGGGACGCACGTTAATCCGCCCTAATCCGGCTGGGTTGTAGGCGCGTGGGCGGGCGTACCTGCCAGGAAGGCTTCACCCGGATGCTCCAGGTACACTCGAGGGGGAGCTTGTTCTGCCGGGAGTGGTTCAGCTGGGAAGCCTTGATGTCCGCCGAGCCGATGGTGCCGTGGCTGCCTTCCACGTTGAACAGGCACTCTGCGGGCAGTGCAAGAGGCAGGGTCAGACGCGCATTCATCTGCGGCGCCGCTTCACTCGAACACACTGTGCTCGTCGAATGGTGTGCGCTCGGCTACAATATGAGGGCGAACACGCGAGCGGATGCTTAGCACTGCCCGCGCCTTTGCAAGGAAGAAGAGGGTCGGCTCCAATTAACACTCTTCCCAAATAACCAAGCCGTAGTGCTTAATTTTCGGCGTCCCCTAAAGTCGGGGTTCACACTGCTCATACATCATACAAAAGACAGTCTGCAAACACGAGTCACTGGAATATCCGTGGTTCGAATGCCGCGTGCCAAGTTTCCTCCTCAAACTCATTGGCATGCGACATTCGAAGCACGGACCTCGCGGTGACTCGCGTTGGAATATTTATGCAGACTGTCTTTTGTATGATGTAGAAGCGGTGTGACCCCGGTCTAAGGAACGACAGCGCGTTTGAAGAGGGCTCGTGTTTTCACTGAGTGGAAGTACGCGTCTCAACCGATCGCTGAAGCAGTGCTGGTGTCCACTTTGTGACCCGGATCGGCTTACTTTACGAGACGCTGAACATTCAGCACTAGTACTTTGTTCCCTAGGAGCTGTTGCTTGGTTCCTGGCGTTTGCAGCCGCGAGTCTCTCCTCTCTGCGCAGGTGTCTACTCTTCTGCATTCACTAAGGCGGCGCTCCGAGGCGCTGGCGACTGTTCAGACACGAAGATAAATCACGGGTCATGCTCATAATCTTTTCGCGGTGTCTACAATAAAAAAAAAACAAAAAAAACAAAAAAACAATAGTAATTTGCGGACGAACGGACCGTACGATCGAACGAGAATAAAGGTTTAAGCCGCCGGAAAGAGAAAATTGGGCGGCGCCGGGAATCGAACTCTGGATCTTCTTATTACCGGTCTGCTAACCACTCATAGTCACTGTCAGGACTAGAACGGCAGGGAGGTTCTTCAGTTGTTACCTACCGTCCATAGCGCTTCGGCGTCTTGTATAAGCCTCGAGCGTGCGTCCGGCCGTTCTAGTCCTATCGGCGACTGTATACGCCACATCGCCTTGTCTTTCGGAACTTCCTCTCTGTCTTACGAATGCACCGAAACGGAATGCATCCAGTCAGAGGTGTTCTGGAGGTACATGCCTCCACGTGAAGACAGCAGACCCGTATAGTTCGAATCCCGGCGACTTTCTGCCGGTTCTTTTCACCTTTACTCCCACTCCGTCGTATGAGGTTCATTCAGTTGTACAGTTTGACTATGTGCGTAGATAATATGAACTGTATCGAGGACGCAGACACTACGAAGCATTCAAACGCGACCGCGGGGTGCAATAGGCTCTGATGCTTGGATTGCAGAATCAAAATAAGAAATTTGCTGAATGGGCCCCGTTGACGTATAGTTGACGCAGCTAACGCCACGACTGTTTTTATTTTCGACGCATATACTTTGCACCTTTAGGGTAAGAGCAAAAAAAAATAAAAAAAATAAAACCATTTGAGACAGACATTGTGCGAAATTCGAGTTCACGTAATTGTGAAAAAAAAAAAAAAAAAGATGTTGATGCAAGCACGGAGTCAAAGACGCTTTTCCCTGCACTAAATCGCGGATTTCTCTAAGGGAAGACTTGGCTAATATGAAAGTCACTAACCACTAGCCTCGTCTGCGGGTCAGAAGTTTCCTATATAATTACAAAAGGCTCAACAAGCACACATTTTCTATCCGTACCTCCTCATCCCAATACCTGTAGATATTATTTCGCCGCAAAGAACTCGTTAGAGGTGAATAGCTGCGACCGACACGAGGCGTTTCCGATTTAGCGCTCGCCCAAGCTGACGATGCAGCCCGACCAGCTGGCGTTCATTACAGGCGCTAAGCTTCATAGATCCAACCGTTGGCCCCGCAAACGAGCTTAGCGACGGCCGCCCGTTAAGAGGAAAAGAAAACACATTTGGAAGGCAAACCGATTGCCATGCAAATGACCGATCGCCGCCGGGAGACCAATGTTGATTCCCGCTAGGCCACGGTGGCGGCGGCGAGCCGCTCGAGCGTTTTCATCGTGATCGCAGTGCACAGGTGTGACTGCGGGGAAGCTTGTTGTTTCTCCTCGCGCGCTCCGCTCGACACAAGCACGCACAACCGCACAATTGGCAGCTAATGACAGCGTTGCGTCGGAAATAATGCTTCGCTCGGTTATTCCACGATCGCGTCTCTATGCCCATGTGGCGGAGCGTTTTAAATCGAACGAAAATCAAAACGCAAAAAGGCACAAACGCCAAGAACAACAACAACAACAAAAAAAAAAAAGGCAGTTAAAAAAGAAGAAATACCGAGCGTTTGAGCGCGCTTAATTCGGAAATGACCGGTAGCCGACCGAAGAGGTGGCCAGACGTGAGGACGACGAGGAATGCGCGGAGGCAATAATTTATGGCCACGAGCGATTAAAGGGAGATTAGCGCAGGTTTTCGTCCCATTAGCGAGCCGGCTTGGGTTAAATGGCTCGAAATGATCGGCTTGCTCTTCTGGCCGTTGCGTTAGTTGGCGCCCCGGAGAGAAACGCCCAAATTTGACGCCGTTGCCCGTTCTGCCATGCGCCCGGTGTTCCTGACCCTCAGCCCCCGTTCCTCCGCTCGCCCCCCGCCCCCGCCCCCCCCCCCACCTATTCGGCGGCGGTGCTCGGAAGGTTTTAATTCTACCCGGGCGCTTGGGTGTTTCGCTCGTTTTCTACTCGGCATCGTCCGCTGAAATGGGCTTCTGCCGTATTGCTCCCGCCAAGCGTAATTTCTTCAACAGTACAAAAAAAAAAAAAAAAAGAGGTAATTGTAAAGAAAATTTTCTTTTCCTTCAAGCTGCCATTTCATGCGCGCCCACCTGAAAGTAAATGATACAAAAAAAAATAAGGAAAACAGCAACAGCCAGAACGTAAGAGTGCATATAGTGTGCACTACATGCGTGTTCGTTAATGGTGAAATTTTATATTAATTTTTTGAGTGGGAAACTTGAGGGACATGACATTTATTTTTTCTGTTGAAAATTACCGCATTACAGTAATTTTTGAAGGCGAATATCTTTGAAAATTTTCTGGAACGTCAAAATAAAATATGGAAGATAGTGGAACTTAAAGACTGAAAAAAAAAAAAGAGCTATTACATATACATTTGGCACGCCTTGCAAAATTCGAATTCCAAATTTATATACCTGAAACTGGGCACGCAAACGCCGTTTTGCAAAAAAAAGTTTTGTCTATCTTCTTAAAAGCTTTACACAGGACTTGTGAAAAAAAACAAAAACGGCGGTCGTGCATTTTCAATGTCATATAGCGGCCTGATCTTCGTCTGCATACTAATTTGCAAGCTCTATCGTAGGTGGCGTGGTGAACGCAAAACACGCTGATAACGTCATGAGTGAGGTTGGCGACGACCTGCATATTCGCGATAAATAATTATTTTCACGACATAGATGAGCGATGGTGCAGTTTCAGTCCCCATTTAAAGACAAGCAAACTGTCCTGTTATTTATATATATATATATATATATATAAAATTCTAAAGCAGACAATTGTTTGTTTCATTGTGTCGTATTTTATACGGTCGCTCCTCCCTACCCGCCGTCCGCGCCCAGCAGAGATGTTCGAACGAATAGCAGACGATAAAATGAAGCAAACATTTGTCTGCTTTCGAATTATTTTTTTTTGTATCAAACAGGAACTTTCGCTTGTTTTCAAAAGATAACTGAAACTGTATTATCGCTCGTATATTTCGTTGCAATCACTATTTTATCGCGGTTATTCTGCTCGCCGCTTGCCTCTCTTATGACGTTCTCAGCGTTTTTGCGTTCTACACGTTCCCTGGAATCCAGCTTGCAAACCAGTACGCAGGCTAAGAGCAGGCCGGCATAAAGTTACTATAATCACCTAGACTGAAGCTTCCCATGCATTGGGGACGCTTGGGAACGGCGGGACATAGACGAGGACATCGACGGTGGTGGTCCCGATGGACCCATATCGCTGGCGACGCCTTAACAGCAGCAAAACATCGCCTGTAAGGTCTGTATACTTTGTTCTCTCCTAGCTTAATTTGCAGGAAAACAGCAGAATCGCGCTTTATACGAAACTAAAGTTGACAAGCTCTCGAGCCACTTCAACTCGTCGCGGCAAAACGAACACGCCTAACCTTTTGTCTGCTTCCTTTCTCCGTTCTTCTGTCGCTCTCTTTCTCGTTCTTTCTCCATGGGGACCGCGATTTAGGACACTGGAAATGCAGGCCGTCATTTTTGCTCTATTCAGTTCTTTTTTTAAATCTTACCAGCGCTGAATTGAGAGAAAGAGAGAGAGAGAGAGAAGAAACTTTATAAAAGTCTAATAAGATCCAGAACGTTGAGTTCCTTCTCCTACGGCCGGCGTGGTGCCTCCCCTGCAGAGTGGCGAAGCGGACTGGGCCGGGCGGCGACTTGCTCGGCTCTTGTGACCGCAGCGAGTTGGCTAACGCAGTCGGAGCTGAGCAGTAGGGTCGTCCACTGAGTGTCTCGTTGTGTCAAGTGTCGTGTGAGGGAAGAGGGTGGGGGATCGGCCGGGCAGGACCAGAATATATGTTCGATCGTGGCCTTGTTGTGTTCGTCTGCGTCCTTTGTTGGATCGTAGCGCTTGGTGTGAAACGATGTTCGCGTGTCCAGTTTCAGGTATGTACAATTAGAATTTGAATTTTGCAAGGCGTGCCACATGTGCTGTTTTTTACGGCATCACCTTGTATACAAACTAATAACAAATCAAGTACAATAATTAACAAGTAATAAAAAAAAATTGTATACCAAGTCGTGGCGCCTTTATCCCTCCCTCCCCCCTTTTCTTCCCAATAATTTGACATTATTGAGGAGACTTTGAACATGATACTATGACAAATGAATATATATAGAAACGATGGTTCTATTCGTCGGAGATTTCTTTTCATTCCGGAGACCCTTCAACCAAATTCTAGCGTCTAACTATGAATGAATAAACAAGACGCAAAAAAGAGCTTGTGTCACTCAGAAGTGGTGGATGGAACAAAACTAAAATCCTAAGTACAAAGAAAAACAAAAACAAAAAAAACAACAGCAACGTTGCAACACAAAAGCAAGGCCTTAAGAAGGAAACTGAATAAATTGGGGCTGTACTCAAGATTGACAGCGTCAATAAGAGCGTCAACCTTACGAAGTATACTTTTTACATTGCACAAGTGACACATGAAATATGTAGCAACAAATAAAAGCGATAGCTGAAAAAAAAAAATAAAGACAACGGGAAATTCTTAAAGCGGTAGTGAACCGTTTGCTAAACCACAAACAAGCAATGATTGTTCAACTTTCTCCCCTTCCCCCACCCACCCCCAAAAAAACACAAAAAAAACAACAACAACAAACAACGACAATGAGAAAACAAACGTTTCAGGTCCGGTGCTGCTTCCTGTTCGACATTCGCACTCCCTTCTGAACAATTTGGGTGCTTGTCTGACGAGCTCTCGAGTTCAAAGGAAGAGCTCCAACATATGAAGTAAAGCGCACACCGCGCAGCGGCGCAGCACTAACGTTGTTACCGACAATGTCTTTAAATGCACAGCAATTAAGTTACAAATTAATGGAATCGCGCTGCCCCTGCGCAGGGACGAAGTGTGTCTCTTTGGCACACGTCAAACCGTCACATCCACAAGCAGCATACATACGTAACAAAGCTGAGACTCACCTTCGGGCGGTGGCTCGTGGGTTTCTGAAAAAAAAGAAAGAAAAAAAGAAGAAGGAGTTTAGTGTTAAGCAGTTGCCGATAATTTCCCTGGTAAAGAAAAACTATTAAGGCGGGAAAACACGCAATCGCTACTGACAACTTCCCAACCCTGTCTCGCCACTGTCAACCGGCCAAATAAATACACATTTGAGAGAAACGCACAGCCCCTCTCCATAAGAGAAGTAAATGAAGCTCGTAAGCGAAGTATATCAAGCCGAAAAAAAAAAAAGTAAAATCAGAACCGAAAGAAATAATGAAAATACCCTCCATCAGTCATGACGAAAGTAGGCCAACTCTACGTCCTAGGCTCCAGTAAAGATCAACTCGCAGTCAGCTTTTTTCTCGCGCAAATGGTGTGCGAATACATGCGCAAGGAAGCTCAAATTTTAGTCTCAAGTCATAAACACATCGTATTTCTGAGAACTGCAGTAACGATATGAGGACACTACACTCACATTAGATCAGACATGTACAAATTACTCAAAAAAGGTATTTAAGTTAAGTTACTGAGTATCGACGCTAAAAGTAATTGGAGTAGAGTAGAAATTACGCATCTGTAATAGTAATTGAGTAAACTACTAACTACTCTAAAAAGTAGCGAGTTCCTTTGAAGTTACTTTCGAAGTTACTTTTTTATATTTTTGTGGAAGCAAAATGAACAGCAGTTTTGATCAATGAAAAACCCGGCGAGCCTAAAATAAATGCAGTCTATTTATAGCTTGCGTTTTCGCCAAATAGTTTATTCGCTCGCAGAAGCAATTGACTTTCAAAGTTCTTGATAGGCGAATTTTCCCATTTTCCTTCTGAAGACGTCCCCAGCCAAGCTAAATAGACGTTCCACCGTGGCACTGAATGAAACGGCAGTTTTGAATTTGAGAAACAGGCTGTGCAGGGTCGGGTAAGCGAGTCTCAGCATCTTAGGTGTCCATGACGAAACATGTGAGGTTTGCCTCTGGTAGAGGGTCTTTTAGAACAAACTTTCCTCCTTTTTTTTCTTTTTTCTTCGTCAAGCTGAGATTGTTATGGCTGGCCCCTCTTTATTCCGACGTCGTTCTGAGAGTACGCTGAGAGAGTGCCCCAGACCGTCAATGGTTCAAGTCTCGCGCCACGACGATGAGATCATCCGGACGACTGCGCGTTCCGTTGTAGTGCTAGTGCTACGCTACTGAAAAAAAAAAAATGTTTTGGTTTAACAGAAGATGAACCGAAGTATACTTCGCCGCTGACGCCAGTCTAACAGAAGGATCTCCCAAGGATAACTCGCAATCCTCGCCGGCGACTACAATAATCTGACGCGCCTGACACGCCTAACAAGTAAATCGTTTTTTAACAAAGAGGAGGTCTCCCAGGCATGGATGGTCGGAAGGACGAGAAGGATTACGTGAACAAGCATCGTCGCTCGTATTCGCGACTCCAACTAACTTTAGGTGGAGCCACTCATTTTCCAAGATGGCGGGTTTACTGAGGGTCAGAGATGCGTGCCGCTGTTGGGCCTGTCTAGTGTGCTGGCTTTACTGAGCGACATAAATTATTTCTGGTAATACGAGGAAGCTAATGTTTTATGAGCGCAGTCCGCCTCTTTAACCTGAAAACAAGAACGGTGTTTAGCGTATTATTTACGGAAGGATGTGCGTTTTACACTCTCGCGTCGTGCAACATATCGAACGACGGAGGGGCGCCCAGCTGCGAGGTCATTCCAGTGGCGCCTCCCGTGGAACCTACCGCTTGAGTCAGAACTCACTAAAGACAGACAACAACTCTCGGAATGTCACCGTCTTTCACGGTTGCAGCTGGAAACGCGGCGCCTGAACCGACCATGGCTTGTTAAGCATCTCTTCCTGCGTTCGTGCGTGCCGGTGTTATGTTTTGGCTGCTCGTCGCCACCTTGACCCAAGGACGCCTTCCCGAACCAGGGCGCCCCTTGTTAGAGAATGCCACTTCATCTGCCGGCGTCTTATTCATTTCTGCGCTCAAACTTTCGTGATGGGCAAAATTGGCACGATATAATTTCGAAAGTAGTTAGTAATTTGAGTAGAAGTTACCTGAAAAAGTAGTTAAATTAAACTACTAATTACCCATATCAAGTTGTAATTGAAAGTTACCAAGTTACTCGAAAAAGTAGTTAAATTGCAGTAGTTTGAGTAGAATAGTTGAACTACGTCCAAGTCTGCATTAGATCACGTGCACAAGGGTCCCCCATTGAGGCACTGGATTTACTGTGTGGTGTGAAATTTCTAACAATAGAACGACAGCAAAAAAAAAAAAAAAAAGCTCAACTACGCGAGGCGCTTGTTTAGCGTGAAGTTAAGGGAGAAATTGGCGGCGCTATAAAGAACAAAAAAAAAAAAAATGAAGGAATACTGCACGGGGCCAAATGTTGCCACATTGCTCTGCTGATAATTGTCTCCTCGCCTTTGTTTTGTTGTGTGAGAGAGGAACGTACGCTTTGTTAATGCTACATAAGCATCCTGTTCGACGTCAGGGCTCGCATACAAACAAACCCATGCTTTTTTACGGGCCCATATAATGTATACAGTGTTTACGATCGCCATAAATTCTTTACCTTTATCCGCGCGAGCTTCGCCCCAACAAAGCTTGGCCGCTGTCTTTAAATAATGCACAGTGTGCAATGGCGTATACATTATATTATAGGTTTCTGAATCTTGGCATCATCCTAAGAACGCTGATAAATCGTCGGTGAACCAAATTTTAGCCGTTTAGAGCTAGATTTTATGAGGAAAGAAAAACTGCACTGCGGTTTGGTTTGCCAGGGCATTATATGGGCACTATATGGTGTTCCCCTAAAAAAAGTCTTGCTGTTCGTTCTATAAAATGTTCCCTCGCAAAAACAAAAAGAAAAGTTTTTTTTTTATTATTGCAAAAGTAAATTTTGCAGTACCGAAGGCGCATTCTCCGCAGAAATGCTCCGCGATCGGTCCGAAACAGACGTCAAAGTTTCTGAACTAACTTATTTCCTTTTAAAGCTATTAGCGATTTTCTGAAACTTTAAATGGGAAGACGGCGGCTGACCGAGGACTCGGATACACGGAGCTCTACACTCTAAAAAATGTTTGTGCGGCTACTTTCCCGCACAACACTCGGAGAGCCAATCACCGCAACTTACGGAGGCAGCTCAGCGAATGGCGATGCCGAAACATGTGTTAAGACCAAAGAAACGCAGTCTGAGTTGTGAGATTAAGCAATGCAAAACGTCACGCTTGCATCGCTTAATGTCACAACTCAGACTGCGTTTTTTGGTCTAAATATATGTTTCGGCATTGTGATTTGCTGAGCTGCCTCCGTAAGTTGCGGTGATTGGCTCTCGGAGTGTTGTGCGGAAAAGTAGACTCACGGGCTTTTTTAGAGTGTATGGCGCCAGTTACCGAAAACGGGCGAAAACGGGATAACGATAATAATCCTCGGAGGACAAGGGGGACTAGGACAAATCCAAACTTGTCCTTTGTCCCCCTTGTTCCCCTCCCCCACGGATTATTATCGTTATTCTCGTCCAGCTCGCTTGAACCTTCATCATAACCGAAAAGGGGCCCCATTTTTCTCTCGAAAATTTCAGAAAATCACGCAACTTTTGAGTAAGATAACGGTTAGTGTTGAAGTTTTGGCTTTTGGATCGGACCGCTAGCTGTTACATTTGAGTGAAAAATGTGCGTTCGGCGAAGCGTGTTTGATTTTTACAGTGAAATAAAAACACCGCAATTTTATGTTTGTTTTCTTTGGGACACACTATACCTATATATATATAGTTTGTTTCGAGGTAAGATATGCAGGAGGAAAACCGCCTCTATTGCACGCGCTCTATGACATCTGCTTTTTTTTTTTTTTGTTTAGCTGCACGTGTGCCGGTGCGTTACCGCGAATGTAGAAAGCTCGAGCCGGAGGCCCAGCTTCTGCCGATTTTTACGAAGGACCGGACGCTCTCCTTTTCCTAGATTCCTAGTTTTAGTCGTTTGTTTCGAGCTACGACGTGACTTGCGACAGACCGAAACGCAGCGTATTTCCAAAGCGTTTTTTACTCGTTTTTGAGTGAGCTTTTTTTTTTTTTTTTATTATTTGCTGCGACTGCGGCAGGGTGGACACAGCCTGCGATAAAGGTCACGGGTGAGCAATGCCGCTTTCTACTGCCGAGCTCCGTCAAAAACGAAAGCCCGAGACGGCAGTCCTCACTACAGTCCCAAGGGGCATCGTATCCTGCAACCAGTCGAAAAAAAAAAAAAAAAATGCCCGCCAAGTCGGCGCGTGTGGGGTCGACTCGCGAGGACTCTGCTAGGATGCGCGGACTGACTCGGGTTTGTCCCGAGTGTGCGCATCATCCAGAGCCGCAGTGACCTTAGCGTCAAAGGATAATAACTGGACGTTATCTCGCCGTCCGCTCCGAGGGAGCTTAAGTTGCGCAGGTGTAGCGTTACACCCGAAACGTGATCGGTCCTCCTTCCAAGACGGGCGCAATTTGCGGGGCAGAAAGATGGCCGCCCAGAGAGCACGCGCGAGTGACGTCAGGTGGCCACCCGTGCGTCACAGGTCTACGCGTGGGCGGCTCATCCTTGCAGCGAAGAGGGAACCGAAATGCGAGCGCCCACGAGCAGGCTACGCCTTCATTCATCATCCGGAAGTGGTCAAGGGAAGCCAGTCGTGCTAGTGTGGCCGACCTAGTTAATTATTTAGCTTCCAAGGGCAGCCTGCTCTGCCAACTTGGGCAGCTGGCCTCTCGCCTTTCCGCCTGCGTGCGGTCTGCTCCCCCGAGTCCTTTGTTTGTTTCTTTGGCCACGTTTAGCTTGCCCTGGCGTCACGTCGCAGTGGTTCTTAAGCATTCCGCCTGTCGGTGGCATACATTTCAAGGAATTGTACGTAAAAGTATTTAAGTAATCGTATTTACTTATCGGTAACTAAATACTCTCTAAGTTAAGATGCGATTTAAATAAGTTTATTTTTGCTACATATTTGAAGTGACATATTCAATTCGTTTGTTATCAGCATTATATTGACAAATGTGCTAATTCACGTGAATACGTATTATAATCAGCGATATGTGTTATATGTGCTTCCAACCCTTAAATATGGGTGGTATGTGAATCGTCGTCCCCTCCAATTCATTATCAAGAATCCTTGCCGAATATAGCGACCACTACACGACTATATGCGCTGGAATCTCTGTAGCGAGCAAGCAAGCACCCACCAGAAACCAGTAGGGCCATCAAAAGGTTAATAATAATGCAGCTATTCTCAGAGAATACTGGGACGGTTCGTAGAAACTTACACTTGCCCCAAGTCCTCGCAAAACGAAATTTAGGAAAAGATTTGCCCAAAAGAACTTTAAGACATTCCAGCAACTTAACATCATCGCAATAATGGGTCACAAAGACGTTTCGAAGTTGAAGTCCACATTGAACTCTTGTCTATAAAAACCCACGGTATAGAAGTTACAGGCCGTGGACTGTTCCAAATGAGCCTTTAATTTTACATTTCTTTTTTCACAACCTCACTACGCATACTCAAAGGAATAAATGTCTAATCACGTTTTCTTGTCTGTTGTGAGGTTCAGGCGGTACACCTGAAACTCCTCTCTGCCGTTCTCATCATGCCAGTGACTATAGAGAGTATAATAAAATATTAGGAGAATTTCGACGAAGCTTCAGAAACACTGTAAGAAAAGATGAAGCACTTATTGAATGCAGTAAGGATGGAAGGAAGGTCAAGAGCAGTATTTTGCGCCTTCTCCTTGCCGAAAAAAATTCCTTGCAGAAACCAGTAACTTTTCAGGACTGGCACTTTCGTTCTCGTGACATCACAAAAAAAAAAAAAAAAATTCACCTCCCCCCCTCCCAAAAAGAAAAAAAGAGAGAGAGAGAAAAAAAAAGAAGAAAGTTAGCTCAATGAATGACCAGTTCAGAAAGGTGCACGCAGTTCCATCACTCTTAGTTGAGGAAATCGAATCTGCTGCTCAATTTCCTCAAAGGTTTTCCTACCACCAGCGGTACCCGCTTTACTTCATTTCACCGTAACTTAGCAGATGGCAACGGCTACGGCCCCAGTGAGCCAATCAGCGCCTCCGAGCGAGGCACGTGGCGACGTGTCGTCAGACTGCTCCCTTTTTTCGGAGAGCTGCCACGTATTTTGCTCCGTCGGTCTGATTGGCTCGAGGGAGCGTTCGCTCTTTACCAAGTTATGGTGAAACCAAGTATAGTTTTGATGACGAGCTGGTGTGTTGGGGATAGCCTGCTCTATACTCTAAGAAATACCTGCGCGTCTAGTTCCCCGCAAAACACTGAAAGAGCCAATCTCTGCGATGTACGAAATCAGCTCAGCGAACGATGAGGCGGAACATCCGTTTAGACCTAAGAATGAAGTCTGCGCTGTGGCATTACGCAATGCAAAGCGTCATGCTTGCATTGCGTATTGCCACAGCGCAGACTTAATCTTGAGGACTAAACAGATGTTCCGCCTCATCATTCGCTGAACTGATTTCGTAGATCGCGGAAATTCGACCTTCGAGTGTTTTGCGGGAAAAGTAGACTCGCAGGTATCTTTTAGAGCATACGTACACTACGTGTATCACGACGAAACAACATCAGCAGCCGCGAACACAAAATCAACCTGATAACCCTTAGGCGGGTCTCGTTTGAAACGGCACTCCGCTCAATGAGCGACTACGGGCCAAGCGTAGAGATTGAACATACCTGGGTCGGAATACGCAAATCACTCAGAACAGGCTCCAAGTACTTCCAGACTCCTTACAATAGAGCTGCTCTGTACTCCCTGATTCGTAGTACCATGCGCTTTCAAGCATGCCGGCTAAGCACTAGTTTAAAGAAGCACCACGAAAAAGAGGAAGGAGAAAACAGCGCAGACGCACGCCAGCTTGCTCCTTCCTCCTTTAATAGGCAATACGAAAGGACCTGGGTTTCAAATCGGATGGAAATAAGGCGGGTTGACTAGGGTTTTGGTGGGGAAGAAAAGGGCGGGCTCTTCAGTCCTTTTCCTCTCCACCAGGTACCGATTTTCTCGAAACCAAATGAACCAAACTCTCATTTCAAGACGGCCTCGTTGAAAGCACCGACATGGCTGGCGCGCATAGCCGTCACAGTGGGCTGTCCCTGGCAGTAGTTTCGACGAGGCCGTTTCGAATGCGAGTGCGGTCCATTCCGCGGCCGAGCGGAGGGAGGGAGGCCTCGGACAACACGGCTCCTCGAGCCCTCCTCAGCGCGTCAACTCACTGGGCGCAGGCATGTAGGTGTAGACCGCCTTGAAGCCCGTGTACTCGATGCTGGCGTCCGAAGAGAACTTGAGCCACAGGTGCCTGCCCTCGGACTGCACGGGCTTCGGAAACCTGTCCCCGCACAGCTTGTCCTCGAGCGGCGAGTACGCGTACGCGCCGTTCCGAATCTCGAGATAGTCGAATTCGCACGTGGGCGACTCTTCCAGGTGGAAGCGGTCGCGGAAGTCGAGGCGCACCATGTGGTTGTAGGGGGCCCGGATGACGCGCACGCACTCGGTGTTGTTCGGGTAGTGGGCCGAGCCGTTGTACAGCGGCGAGTAAAGCTCCTGCCGCGCGGGGTCCCCCACGGTGAAGTTGTGGCAGATGCGGGCCCGCTCGTCCTCGTCCAGCTCGCCCCACTTGAAGCTCTTGATCTCCTTGGCTGCGCAGAGAACAGGGCGACACGCGCGGCGCTCAGTCACCAAGCAACCACTAGTGTACACTATAGCGCCAGTGAATACGCTTCAGCCGCGCTCACATTGCTAGCACACCGCATAAAATACAGACACTGTCTGAAGTCGTCCTCGTGTGACTTAACCTTGTTGTCATACAAAACCTGCCTGCGGACATGTTCCAAACATTTAAAACATGTATGAAACAGACGTGCTTCGATCATGCCTCAGGCCTGTCCCCAAATAATTCAGTCACCGTATCAGCAGCGAACACCATGGTTTTTGATGTACGAACAGTGTGAGTGCAGCTTTAAAGTGTCGGTACTCCACTCCTGGTGTTTTCTTTTATGGACGCCGCCATTTTGGTGCTCAGTGCATGCGGGCGCAGCTGACGGTTGTCACGATTCCAAGCTGCGACTTTCTAAGCCTTAAATGCTCAGACGTTATCGCTACGCCTTGTCTCGGATTGCTTTAACATTTCTGGACGACGGAAAAGCGTTTCCTGCAATTTCAAATAAAGCTGCAGATAACTGGCAACCATGATTTTACGCACAAAGACGGCTGAAGTGTCGTTACTCAGAAGCGGAGTTTAGTTCTAGGGACTCTAGTGTACGCGATTGCGAGCATTGCGTTTTAGCCGGTGTCCCGTGGTCGCATAAACGAGCAGCGTGAACACGCACTTGGTGGGCTTGGCATCGTCTATTGGCGACGTGAGCGATCGAAAGCGTCGCTGTGGTCAGCCTACAGCGATTGGCCGAATGCTGGCTATGACGTCAGCAAATGATTTCTCATTGAAGGAAATAAGAAAAATGTAAGAACTTGAATTTTGACGGTGTTGGCAGTCTTGGTTTTAGAGCGCTATGATTTCAAGCTTCCATCATGCTCACTACAAACACCATCGACCTTTCTGTTGGCAACGTAATGACGTCACGAGGGGGAACCATAAGAGGGCGCCACCGAAACATCTCGCCGCTTATACGATGTAATAAGCAATAAAAGCACCACAGCACGCGCACGTAGAGACTCAAGCATTGCCATCGTATAGTATGGGGAAAAGATAAAGTGCAGATAAGTTCTGCCCCCTCCCTCCCTCTCCCCCAAAATTGCGATTTGTGTTACTGAATTCTGCGGCAGCCAAACGTGATCTGCGTCATCCCAAATCGTTCCGTTCATACGAGTGCTTGGGTTTCCCAAGCGTTTAACCCTCTATCATTACAGAGTGTCTAAAATAGAATTTTTATTAAAAAAAAACAGGTTTTTGTTTTTATGATACAGGTTTTGAACTGGAAAAAAAGCCTCACTGATTTCATTTAACCTTCGAGATCCCCCCAGAGAGAGTAATACAGAAGGAATAAACACTCACATTACATAAATTCTGAACAACAAAAAGCAACAAATATAAAATTATAAACAAACTACACGTTGTTAAATTAAAATCGAACGAAAGCAATTAAACACTTGAAACACGACATTTTCACATGACAATGAGGCAGCGGTGAGCATGACTTCTCTCGAATTCTCTTTGAAATGAAGTGGATGAGACGAGGGAATCAATTCTGCGAGGAAGGATAAAAAAGGAGATAGGCAAGAAGATAAACGAATCGAAGCGGTCTTTCAAGTTTTCATCTTCAATAATGAATGGGTGATTTTATCGAAATACTGCTCGCGGCGGCACAACATTGTATATACGTATTTCTTTTTCAATTTTTGTTTAACGTTTTGAAGTGTATTAAAACATGATACAGGCTTTGCATCTCAGGTCTCAAACCCTTTACTCTACCGTGCAGTCCTCTCTGCGCTAGTACGAGAGGTTTCCTTTCGAGATTTCCACGAACATTATCCTATGGCAGACGAATATGTTTAAAAGTTCGCGTGTATGCAATTTGCAACATAACAACGAATTCCCGTATTTTCAGATGGCCGCCGTGAGACAAATATACAAAGTAAAAGAAGCCCATGTTAAATACGTGCAGTACTCTATCTATAAATCGCACTCATAGCGAACAGCCCTGTTAGAGGTAAATAAAACACCTAGAAAGTATTCGTTTCCTTAAAAACAAAAAAATAAAAACACAAACGCCATACTCGGACGACCACACTTGTTGAAATAGTAACGACGTTTAATTCTGGTGACAAAAATTCATGCTCTACTCAGACTTTTTACGCAGATAAGGGGAGAGGAAATGAAAGGGGGAATGGGAATGGGAAACTGAAGGAAAGGGGTGTAGGAGGAGAGCGAAGCGCTATGTCATAGTGACGTCTGTTTCCTCTAAGTTTAGGTGGGGAAGGGGGGGGGGGGGGGCGAAGCGCTCTTTCATGGTGACGTTTCCCAGGCAGCACGCCGACACTGGGCCAGCGGCGGGGAATATTGTTCACAATATTGGCACAGTTTCATGTTTTGCACCACGGCCCAGTATTGGACCAATATCGGTTAAAGATCGTTCTAAAGATGGGTCTTCTCGACCCATCTTTAGAACGATCGACTTCTTTCGACTTCTAGGCAGAGGTGGGCGAATATCGGTTAACATGACCGCGGCCGCTGCGGTGTCAGCAGACTTGGGTCAAGCTAACGTTACTATAGAATTAACTAGTGATGGGACGAATCACCGGAGATTCGGATTCGGACGATTCGGAAATTTCCGAACTTCCCGCGACGAATATTCGGCAGATTCGGAGATTCGTCCGATTCGTCGCTGGTTGCAGACAGCAACGTGAACCTTGTCGTAAAACTCGCGTATGCGGTCAGTTGTGTTTTTTTAGGTATTGTTACGGCATATAACCAGATTTCGTCTTGTTCTTCTTTTCAACGTATGGTATGTACTGTACTGTCATTCTAAACCCTGGCGCGCGCCCAGGTCCAGCTGAGCTGATCGGTGTGGTTGACGTAGGCCTAACCAGTGCACGGTCTCGGTTTCTGTGCGGTTTCGCGGTGATCGGTAAAATGTAGCGAAATATTGTGTATTATACATAAGGTGGCGCAACGCACAATCAATATATTCAAGCAGGGAAATGATTCGTCTCCTTCTCTAGAGCTGCGTATGTCTGTGCTGTAAGACGCGAGAGCGAGATGAATGTTGCTCGTCACAACTTCGACCGCGTACCGGCACCGGTGGCGAATAAAAACATCGCTAATTCGCACTTCGATGTTTTGTATGCGTAGACTTTATTTGATGAAAAAGAAACAACACAGAGGTGTCCAACGCAACTTTATTGTTCGGAAACAAACACTGTAACTAAACGGAATATAATTAAATAGAAAGGTGCAAATGCAGAACAGGGAGACTGTAATAGTACGGCGCAAGGCGTTTCAGATTGTTTCCCGTGTTCCAATAACACCACCTCAGTGGACACACGTTGGAGATAATCGAATCGGACATACTCATTTGTGTGGTGTCTGCTAGTATGATCGTAATTATGGGCATGAAATGTGTCTCTACCGAACAGCACATACGACATCGATCTCTTACGGCGATGAAAACATGTGCTTGTATTTCCACGTGCACCAAGCATGCCTATTTTGGTCGTAATCCCGAACCGAAACCAATTTTCCCACGATGTCTGGCTGCCGTTCTCGACAAACATTCAAAATAATACAAACAAAGCGAAACATGTTATTGATTACTATGATATTATATTACAACATTATTTTGTGCACTTTGTAGAACTTAGTAAATTTAAAATCACAAAAAGTTGAAACACTCATCAACTTGATCTGGCAACCATGGCCACGCTTCGAATCTTTCCGAATCGCTTGAGATTCGGCTACTCTTCTTAATCTGGATTCGGATACAGATTAGTCCCATCACTAGAATTAACCGATCAGTTGGTAAACTGTCATAGATCTGCTCTGAAAAAGTAGCACCGATCCATACTCGAGAACCGAGCTAATAGCTATCGCAATGCCGCCATTTCTCCCGCACCGGCCACTCTAGGAACTGCACGTGACTTCTATTTTGGCTTTAATCGGCCATTTTGGCGAAACAGATGCGGTGGAAGGGGAAGAGGAAAGGAGGAAACGTCCTCTACTCTTCAGCATGTCGGCTGATTCCTCCTCCTCAGCCATAAAACGTTTAACCTGTGACTGACTATAGGTGCTTCTGCCTACACTCCCTCTCTGATACGATGGTGCGGAAAAGAATGTCCGGCTTGTGCGTTTTAGCAGAGAAGAATACCTGCAGGTACTGCTTCCCATTCCCATTCCTTTCTTCCCCCATTATCTGCGTAACAATTTCGAGTAGAGCGTGAATGTTTGTCACCAGGATTAAACGTCGCTGCTGTTTTAAAGAGTGTGGTCGTCCGCCTACGTCTTTTATGTATTTTTTTTAAGTATTCACTATAACAACGCACTCGAATTACCTAGTATTCGTGTCGTTCCCCAAGATATTTTCGGACAGAATCAGACATAGTTACATGCTAAGAAACAAAAGAGCGGACTTCGGTTTTGGGACAGTCAACTGAGGCGATAGGAGCAGGCTGATGCCGTGGATCAAGAAAGACAGGCACTAGTTACACTAGGTGAATTCCGTAAATTGGATTGCGGAAGGAAAACACGAGTATGTCTATTATAACTGCCTGGTAGCGCACACTCCATAGTCAGTACACAACGGGGGTGTCTTTCATATATTTTCGTTGACAGTGTGGCTGTGTTTCTTTGTCACAGCCGATTGAGGCTCTGAGAGAGATCATGCTCTGCTTCTTCGAAAGAGGGTCGGATAAAAACAGCAACTTTGCAAGCGCAACAAAGTGGACAACATTGCCTATCTAGGACCAATGGGGATGTTATCCAGTGTTCTAGATGGGTTATGGTGTCAACGACTGAAAATGCCGTAAAAAAAGAAAAGAAAAACGACGTTCTTATATTGTTCGACTCACCCTATTTTCTCAAAGGTCAAATTCACTCTGAAAATGCCATTAGGTCGACGCACGCTATCAATTTTAGGATCAGAATGAAGACAAAGGTGCGAGTTTGTCGCCTACGGTACTCAGCTCA